TGTAAAAGAACATTATCTCTAACTTATAATTTCAACTAAACGAGTTTTAAATTAATGGGTTATCTTTGATCATCTATTTAACATTAATAAATTTTAAGCCTGGGCATAGATCATAAACTCATTTTTGATAAAATGTAATCATATAACTTAACATAGTTTGTTGTGAAGTATTTGTTAACTTAATTATAATAAAATTAATGAACTTCACAGTTAATTTTTCACTTGAAAATATTTATTTTTGCTTTCCTCTTGCTTTCCCTAAAATCCCAATTTAAAAGGTGTACTAATTATTTATTTAAAGCATTTTTGAAAATTAATTTAACACATTTATTTTTGAAACATCTGAGAACACATTTAAAATAATTTGCATAATATAGAGAATGTCTGTAATTTCTTGATTTACTTTTATTTTGCCTAGTTGGTAAACTTTTACATTTACCTGCCTTTTTTTTATATAGAGAGTTTTTTTGGATTTTTATTATAATTAAAAATGTATAGTTTATGTGTCTGTACTTAGATGCATAATATTAGAGAGAACAATACTTATCCTGAATTATTTATTTTAAAATCAATTTAATATCTTTTTCCTTATTTACTGTCTTTTAAATATAACATTAAATACATGGAAAAATATTAACATATAAGTATTGAAGTAAAATCATATAATGGATACCACAGTTTGCTAAAAAGTTGATCATCATTTTATTTGCCTTTTAAAATTCTTTTCTTAAGTTATCCTTTTATTTTGGATTCTTTTTGACAGTCTCTTTTGCAGTGTTTTGCAACTTCTTTTTTTCTTAGTGTAGGTTTTATTTCAGTTATTCCGTTCTGAGTTCATTGGACCTCCTATATTTGAGGTTTATTATCTTTCAACATTTCTGTTAAAATTTCAGCCATTATGTTTTTAAAACAATATTGCCTCTTCCCCATTCTCTAGTGTCTCCTTTTAGAATCCAGTAAGATATATGTTAGATCTTCTTTCCTAGAACTCTATATCTCTTAACTCCATTTTAATAGTTTAATTTATTTTTCAATCTGGGGCTGCATTCTAAATTATATCATTGGATATTTTTCATTTCACTGATTCCATCTTTAACCTAATCTAATCTGTTTTTAACCTGTTCAGTGAATTTTTTACTTCACTTATTAGTCATTTCTGTAATTTTCATTTTTCTTTAGAGTCTGCTCTTTACTGATGCTTTCTCATTGTTCATCTTTATGATTCCATGATTTTTTTTTTTTCCTATCACCCACAGTAGCTTGTTTTCTGCAGTGCTTGCTCTTTTCTGTTATGGAAAACATTGACATCATATTTGTGGCTGTTACATGACAATGAATTGGAACCTTTTTCAAAGAGAAAATTTTATCCTGCTTTTTTTGCTAGTGTCTAGAGGACTCATCCTCACAAGAAAATCTAAGATCTCGCACTCTTTTCTGTTATTCCAAGTTTCAGAATCTCAATAACATTCTCCTGTAGGACAACAGAACTCCTTTTTAAAAATGTTCTCTTGTGTGGCTGTAACTAGTTTCATATCTTTTAAGTAATTATTTTGGTGTTTACTTCCAAATTTTTAAGTGACATAGCTTTTCTTGGTCTTTCTCAGTTCATTTTAGAGTGTTATTTGTTGACTTCTTACAGTGGAAATGATAACTGGCTATCTTTCACCCTCTCCAGCTTTCCTTACATATTCTTACATGCCTATACTCCAATATTATTATATGTTTGATAAATTTTTTAAATCTTTTTAAAAAATAAACATGGTTTCACTTATAAGCACTGTTCGTGGCACAACTGTGTATAATGTGTATCTCCCCATTCCTTTGTATTGTTTTTCTTGTACTTAAAAATTTTGTTTTGTTGTAATTGCTTTTTCCATGTAACTTCACTAATTCATTGTTTTATCTTGGGAATTCCCATCACTTTTTTCTTGTGCTGGCTCCTTGTGGATCCAGATATATTCTTTCTTTATATAATTCTTTTGTTTTTTAAAGAAACACTTTATTATTAATAAAGAATATATATTATATATGGCATTTATATACTATAATTTTAAAACAAATTATATTACAGTGGATTCATTTGACAAAAGCAATTCATAATAATTCAAATCTGATTGTAATTTCATTTCTCTGTGTAGTTTTTACAAAGATCATTTAACCCTTAAGATTGAATTATATATTCTTGAATTTAAGTAAATCTTTTGAATTCTCAAAATCTCATTCAGTTTATTGCTTTAAAATAAAAATTCTTAATAGACAATTTTTATACTTCGGGGTAAATTCATATTATTATATAATAACTTTTTTGAGAGAGTGAGTTATAAACTAAGAATACAATGCAAATTAAATCTTGCTGTATATTCTGTAATATTTTATTTTTGTTAGTATGTGGAGATGATAGTCTCTGCTGTAGTAGAGCTACTAGAATTGTTTAAAACTGGATATTGGCCGGGCTTGGTGGCTCATTTCTGTAATCCCAGCACTTTGGGAGGCTGAGGCAAGTGGATTGCTTGAGCCTGAGGGTTCGAGACCAGCCTGGGCAACTTGGTGAGGCTTCATCTCTAATGATAAATTAAAAAATTAGCTGGGCATGGTAGCACACTCCTGTAGTTCCGGCTACTTGGAAGGCTGAGGCAGAAGAATTGCTGGAGCCCAGCAGGTTGAGCCCAGCAGGTCGATGCTGGAGTGACCTTGAACATGCTACTGCACTCCAACCTGGGCGATGGAGTGAGACTCCAACTCAAAAAAAAAAAAAAATTGAATATCATTCTGGGAGAGTCCTACTTATTTTCCTTAATGTGATATAACATTTTTATGCCTTTATTCTGTATATAAGAGATATTTCAGACATAGAAGTATTTATGTTCTTACAGGAAATTTGCAATCTATGAAAGTAAAAAAAAAAATATATATATATATATTTTTTAAGTTGGAGTCTCACTCTGTCACCCAGACTGGAGTGCAGTGGCCGCCCCTGGCCACTGCAGCCTCGACCTGCTGGGCTCCGGCTATCCTTCCGCCTCAGCCTTCCAAGTAACTGGAACTACAGGTGCACACTACCACCCCCGGCTAATTTTTTGATTTATTGTAGAGTTAAGGTCTCACCAAGTGGCCCAGGCGGGTCACGAATCCGCGAGCTCAGGCAATCCACTCACCTCAGCCTCCCAAAGCGTGGGATTACAGGCTAAGTCATTGAGCCTGGCTAGTAAAAAATATATTAAATTGGATTTCCAGTTGACATTAATTTTGAATCCCCTTTGGCAATCATCTTGTATTTAACTTCTCCCAATCTTTCTTTCCTGACATGTACTTGAGTGAATCATTGCTCAGTAGTGCATGTATTGATTCTTATGAGAACGCATTCCTTATGTTGTCTGAGCATGCTGCCTGGGGACCTGTACTGATTTTGGATCCCTTGTAGAAGTAGAACTACAAGGTAAAACAAGAATACACGTGGCCAATATTGCTTATTTGAAAATTATGTGCAAAGCTTTCAAAAAGGGAGAATCGCTTTTTCTCTTACTTTCTGTCTTCCATCCTTTTATCTCCATCTCTGTGGATGACTTTTCAAAGAACTCAGTATTAATACTAATTGTCTTGGTTTAAATAATCTGTAACATAATAGAACAAATGGGCTTTTTTCAGCTCACCTGAGAGCCTATCTATCATTTATTCTCACATAATTTTTTGAGCCTTTACTATGTGGCAGATAACTTTTCTAGATGCTGAATGTACAGATGATAACAAAATAAATACTCCACCCCTCTGTTCCATATTTCATAGTAGAACCAATGATACTTGTATTGAAAAATATATGTGAAGTTGCAAAAACTTATTTAAAGGTGTATGTAACTTGCGCATAAATTAAGAATGGGATATTCTGCATTAGGTAAGCTCCATATGAGCTGCTCTTTTATCAGAGAAGGACAAAAATATTTTAGTTAAACTTATTATTATTTTTGAAAGAAGTGGCTCATGCCTATTATATCAGCACTTTGGGAGGCTAAGGCGGGAGGATCGCTTGAGCCCCGGAGTTTGAGACCAGCCTAGGCAGCATAGCAAGTTCTCATCTCTATGAAAAACAAAAAATATTCAGAGACGATCTTTTGCACCCAGAGGCTCAAGGCTGCAGTGAACTATGATTGTACCACTACACTGCAGCAAGGGCAACAGAGTAAGGCCTCACCAAAATAATAAAATAAAATAAGCACTTTTAATAACATATAATTCACTTCTACATACAATTCTTTTAATTTGTGTAATTTATGGATTTATAGTATATTCATAAGGTTATATAACCATTACTATTTTCTAATTCCAGAATATTTTCATCCACTCTCAAATGAAGTCATATATCTATTAGCAGTTATTTCCACCCTTCCCTGTCCCAAGTCTCTGGCAATCACCAATCTACTTTTTGTCTCTATGCTTTTACCTGTTCTGGCCACTTCACATAAGTGTAATCATACTATATGTGGTTTTTTTAAAAGTGACTGTCTTATTTAATATAATGTTTTTAAGGTTTATTCATGTTGTGGCATGTATCAGTACTTCATTTCTTTTTAATGGATGGATAGTTTTCTGTTGTATGGATATACCACGTTTTGTTTATCTATTCATCAATTCATGGTTATTTGTATTGTTTTCATTTTTTGACTGTTATGAATTATGATGATAAGAAAATTTGAAAGAGAATTTGAATAAAGTTTTTGTGTGGGCAAATGTTTTCAATTATCTTGGGCTTCTAGGAATGGAATTACTAGGTCATATTGAAACTATATATCTTACTTTTTGAGGAAATGCCATGCTGTTTTTTAAGATGATTGCATCATTTTACATTTCCACCAGCAACGTATGAGGGCTTGAATTTCTCACCATCCTTTCCAAAACTTATTATTGTTTGTCTTTTTCATCATAGCTGTCCTACCTGGTGTAAGGTGATATGAAGCTCATTATTTTTTTATGGGGAATTAAAACAGTTAAAAATTTTTGTTTTTTAGGTGCAGTGCTTCTTTGTAGTGTACAAGGACTAGCAGTTAATATTGACCCAATCTTATATACATGGCTCGTCTACCAGCCTCAAAAGCGAACAAGTAGGCATATGCAACAGGTAAGAGATTTTTATATATTTTTGTCTTAATGAATAAGTCTTTCGTAGTCATTTAGTAGTTTTGTGTCTTTTATTCTGTTTTATAAATGTGCCAGAATATCTCTCTCCCCTACTGTACATCTTTCAAATAATTCTGTTCCCTAACTTCTGTACAAGAAATTGCATCTCAACACGTAATTTCTTTGAATATTAAGGGGGTTCTGTACAATGGCCTGTAAAGCAGGTAGATTAAAGACTAGAATAAGTAATCCTATTTCACTGAACTGTATTTTTTTCATCATGCCTAGATGTCTGTTCTCATAGTGTCTGATATGTAAGAATTGCTCAGTAGATGTTAGCTTTTGTTTTTATTTCTATATTTCTTTTTTATCTTTACGTTTATTCAACAAACATACAATGAATGTCTTCATTCTTGGATTAGGATGGTTGGTGCAAAATGGTTGGGATATTTGTTTGTTTAAAAGGGTATAAGTTACAAAGTAGAAATAATTACAATTTCTAGAATACTTCAATGTATTTCTATATGTCAGGATATTTAAATATACTTGTAACCGTTGGTTTTATTCTTATTTGAAGAAACTAATGCTTATTGAGATCACGCAGCTAATACATGGCAGAAATAAGAATTTTTGAGGCCAAATGTGTACTGTGTTGAATTACATTTTCCCATTGACTTAATTGTAATTTTGCAGTATTCTGCTTGGAATAGTTCGGTATCTTTTTTCTGAAGTAACTTAAAGCTAGTTGGTAGGAGAAAAATACATCATTTTTTAATTATATAAGAATAAAAAAAAACTAGAAACTTACTTATGTAAGGAGCATCTTTTAAAAGTTTTTCTTCACTTTGTCCTAATTTTATTTGAAACTTCTTCTATCCTTGCCCCTATTTCATTCTTTGAACAAGTAGTTACAGAATATCAGTATGCTAGACAGTAGGACCATAGAAATAAAAGTCATGGGTGAGAGTATCTTACTGTAAGTAAGAGTATTTAGTGTACTTGAGAATATGAAGGAATACAGAAATGCCATTTTTCGTAATTTCTATGTAGATGTGTTCTGCATTATGTCAATACACAAAAGAGAGATAGTTCTCCCAGGCAGGTGAAGATATCACAAAGAGGAACTTAATATTTAAGTGGAGTATCATAGGAGTAAGCCAAATAGAGAAGATTGTTCTAGACAGAACTCTCTGAGCAAAAGCAGAGAGGATACAAAAACATGACAAGAAAGAAAGTTTAGTGGTTGCATAATGAGATGAAGTGCTCTTATAGAACTGTTAGAAATTGGAAACCAAGTCCTAAAAAAAATTTTTTTTATAATGCTAGGTATTTGAGATTTTATTTTGAAAGGTAAAGAGAAGAATAGGAAACTGATATAAACAGCACACCTCATCAACAAGAGTACCTGCATAATGGACATTTGTATCCCTAATCCTGAATTGTACCCCACATCTTTAAAATAAAAAATTTTTTAAAAAGAAAGATTACTCTAACAGAATATAGAGGATGATAAAAAAAGAAGTAAAACTAGGCCGGGCTCAGTGGCTCAGCCCATAATCCCAGCACTTCGGGAGGCCGAGGCGAGTGGATTTCCTGAGCCCACAGGTTCAAGACCAGCCTGGGCAACTTGGTGAGACCTTATCTCTACAATAAATAAAAAATTAGCTGGGCATGATAGTACGTGTGTAGTTGCAGCTACTTGGAAGGCTGAGTCAGAAGGATCCCGGGAACCCAGCAGGTGGACTCTGGGGTGACTGTGAGTGTGCCACTGCTCTTCAGCCTGGGTGACAGAGTTAGACTCCAACTCAAAAAAAAGGAAGAAGTAAGACTAATAGCAGATACCTGCTGGGAAAAACATCCTTTTTTTTTTTTTTAGTGAGGAAGCAGGATTTATTGAGAAGACAGAAAACCTCTGACAGTGGGAAGAGACCCGAATGGGTTACCCCCAAAAATTTTCATTGCAAATTCTTGATTGGTTATTTTCTAATACAGTTACTTCCCACATACCATAGATATCCATTAAGGACAAATAGAGTGTTCTAGCAGCTTAAGTAAATTAGGCATTCATTTATAATTGATACCAACCAAGCACATTCAAGCTTTTTGGTTTTTAACTTAATTTTTCATATTTTATCTTGTAACTCTAAAACTGGATATACAGTCATGTGTTGCTGAATGACAGGGTATGTTCTAAGAAATGCATTGTTAGCAATTTCATCATTGTGATGTGTACATCATAGAGTGTACATACACAAACCTAGATGGTAAAGCCTGCTATATATCTAGGCTATATGGTATGACCAAGCCACCCAGACTATTTGTACAGTGTGCTACTATGCTGACAACTATAAGGTGAATTAACAAATACTCATCATTTCACTCATTTAGTGTTACAAATAATATTGGAGTAAATGTCTTTATAGCTAAACCTTTGCATTCATCTGTATTCATTTAGAATATATTTTTAGAAGTGCAGTTAGTAGCTTTAGCATGTATTTAGCATTTTTAAAGCATATTTTAAGGCTTTTTATATACTGCCACATTGCTTCCAGAATTGGTATGTAATTTACTTTTTCAACAGCAATTTATGACATTACTATTTTTCTACAGTTCAGCAATACTCAAAAAAATACTTTTTGGAAAATATATACAAAAATATACTAGTCTTTAAGGGTTTTTTTTCCCATGGAAAATTTAGAGAATTGTATAGTTGAGCCATGTATATCCATCACCCAGCTTCAATAATTATCAACTCATGATGACTCATCTTTACTTTTAAAATTTGTTGTATTGGCCACTCACCATAGCTCACACCTATAATTCCAGCCTTGAGGCCAGGAGTTTGAGCCAGCCTAAGTCTCTACAAAAAAATAAAAAACTTAGCCAGGTATAGTGGTGCATGCCTGTGTTCTTAGCTACTTGGGAGGCTGAGGTGGAGGGATCTCTTGACCCTAAGAGAGGCTGCAGTGACCTATCATCACACCACTGCTCTCCAGCCTGGACAACAGAGTGAGACCCTGTCTCTTAAAAAAAAAGGAAATTAGTTGAATAGAAAAATAAATAAAATCTGTTGGGTGGAAAAAATGCCAATATTCAGTATTGGTGAAAAAATAGAGAACAAGTGATGTTAAGCAGATCTTATAACCTCAAAATTCTGCTTTTTGACATAGGTATACTCTTACAGTGACATTTATATAAGTCTAAGGGATCCTGTGCAAGATGGTTACTGCATATTCATTACAGTAGTATAAAATTGAAAAAAACCTAAATGACAATCTGTAAGGAGTTGGCTAGCACATGGAATATGCACATGACTTAACATTTATTTATTAAAAATTATACAAAATACCCTAGTATGAATGTCTTGAAATTATATTTAATGCAAAAAGCAGTTTCCCAAAGCTATAGGCAATATAAGAGAATTGATTATATATTTCCCAAACCACCCTTAATGTGTGTGTGTGTGTGTAAATACAGGTGTAAAAACTAAGTTGAAAAATTTGTACTAATATTGTAATAATGATTGACTCTGGGAGGAAGGGGCAGTAGATTGACAGTCAAAGGGGAATCTTAGCTTTATCTGTAATATTTCATTTATTTTTTTCTAAGAAAGAAGAAATGTGATACAGTGTTAAAAGCCTTTAATTATTGGTTATAATGGGAATGTGTTATTCTTTAAAATACCCATGTATTTTTATAATTTATTAAAGTACTAATAAATTAAAGAAAGACACCTTTTATAGAATGGAGGCAAAAAGGACTTTGGGTATTTTGGGATCATGAAACATTCATGGGTTAAGGATGGGACAAATCTGGCACTAGAGTACAACTGAAATTTAGAGGAATCGCTAGTACCAGAAGGGAGAAGAATATAACTATCGCAATGGGAGGTTGCTAAAAATAAGTCCCGGTTATTTTAATATTTTTGACCAGGATAGCTATATTTGAGAACAGTAGAGGAATTACTGGTCTTACTCTTTATTTGGTATTACTTACTGCCTAACATGCAGCACAACCTATATTAGTGGTCATTCAAATAATATTTTTGAGGGTCCGTTGGGCATTATTATAGGTATTTTGAACACAGCTATGTAGAAGACATACAAGAACTTTACTCTTGTGCTTAGACTTGTGCAGTTAAGACCCATATTATTCAAGGGCAAACTGCATATTAATTTTAATCCCGAATTTGGTTGTAATTTCTTTGAGAGCTTAATTGTATTCTAGGTGTGAAATGTGGGCAAAAAATCAAGGGATTGGGGAGTCACTAAATATTAGAGCTGAAAGAGCAAATATTTCTACCCCTATTATTTTTTAGTAAGGAAATTGAATCAAAACTTACAATATGCTGAGCATTTCTCATCCAGGACTTAAAAACGACTTCCTTTTTAGGAATAAGTATAAATATTACCATTTTTACTAAATACTCAGTAGGAAAGCAAATATTCTATGTTGTGATGTTTCCCATACTATATTTAATCTTTTCATTTTCTTTTTTTCATACTTCCTCTCCTTTTACTCAGCCCAGCTAGCAACTTGTAAAATAATATGCTTTTTTCCCTCTATGTAAGAACTTAATTGCTGTGTTATATAGTCATATAAGATACATATGTTTTCATTGAAATGCTTTCTAATAATGTAAATAATATTAATTATTATAAGTTAGATGAAGCTTAAACTTGAATCTGTAAAATTTTGGTTGTTGTGGTGTTGAGGATAACAATTGACTATACTGCAGCCTCACCAACTTCCTACAGATTCATCATCTGATACAGCTGTATTATATTTATCATCTGGTGTTTCCCATGCTGCAATTTCCTTCTCAAATTGTGGCTAAAGCCCAACATTTGATGATTGTTTTCCACCCAGTTCAACATTGATCTTTGATCCTTCAACAAACTTAAAAATACCTTTTATTTGGCCAAAAATATGACAAAATTGTGTTAGACATCATCAACAGTAACATCAGACTTTATTTCAGTGACTAAAGATGAAACAGCTGCTTTATTGTCCAGCTCAGCATTCATACATTCAATATAGAATTATAATGTTTTCCAGCTTTTTCTAACAATAGATATTTTTCTGTTTTCTAAATATGCCATGGATATCTCTTTGACAGACAAAATATAGAAATTTTTCAGTATTCTTCAATAAATTGGACTGTCCATATTAACATGTATATAATTGCTTTATAAAAGTATGTTTCTAAAAATATCATTTTATGAGGATAACCTTGTAAGAATAATTTTTTTATTTTCTTGGACTCATAATTTTCAAAGTGAATTTTAATTTTAATTTGCCCTTTTCATATTATCTTTATACTTCCTACTAAAACTTATGTTTACTGGATACTTTCTGGCTCTTTTGGTTTTCACATAGAATTTTAATTTTAAATTTAAGAGGATAAGAGTGTGTGTGTGAGTGTGTGTGTGTGTGTGTGTGTGAGAGAGAGAGAGAGAGAGAGAGAGAGAGAGGGAGAGGGAGAGAGAGAGACAGAGAAAGAGTGAGAGATAGAGAGAGAGAGATATATTGATTGATTTCAAATAAAAGAACTCTCACTCCTCAACTCATGAAGTACTATCCTCAATGATGCCATGTTTAATCTTCACTGCTTAAGAAATAGTGACTAATTCAGTTTTTCATTTTGGCTCTTTCCAGCCGCCCGTGGTAACTGTACCTCTTGTTATGCCAATTAATAGAAGGAAAGAGGATGAGGTGTCCACTGGAAGTGCACCTTTGGCAAAGCAGCAATCTTATCAGGCCTCTGAATACGCCAGCAGCCCTATAAAAACAAAAACAATAACAGGTATTTGTCAAGAACTATAAAGGGACTATGATTTTATTCTACCTCTAAGCTAGCAGATTAGCCTCTCCAGTTTCACAGATGCTGACAGAAGACATGACACTCCTTGGGTGGAGAAAAATTACTTTATTACCCAAGCATGAGCAATAATCAGACTATTACATTTTCTTGCATTAGTGTTCTGAACCCATCTCCCACAAGGCGACAAAAAGAGAGTCAGGTGACACATATAAAGGAGAGGAACACTGAGTTTAGGGAGCCCGAACCTTTTATAATGGATGAAAAGCATGCCTGCCTTTTTCTCTAGGGGAAGGCACTATATCTTCTTTGCAAGACTATAAGCACACTTGCCCTTTGCTCAGAAAGAGAATGATATATATGTCTTTGGAGGCACTTCTCTTTAAAGATATCCTTGAAAACACAGTGGGGTAACAAAGACTGTCACTACCTTTACTTGCAAGATAAGCAGAAACTCATAAGACCTATGGAGTATCTGGGCTCAGTGGCTCAGCCTATAATCCCGCACCTTTGGGAGGCTGAGGTGAGTGGATTGCCTGGGCCCGCGGGTTCGAGACCCGCCTGGGCAGCGAGACCTCATCTCTACAATAAATCAAAAAATCAGCCGGGCATGGTAGCACATGCCTGTAATTCCGGCTACACGGAAGGCTGAGGCGGAAGGATCGCGGAGGCCAGCAGGCGAGGCTGCGGTGGCCGGGAGCGGCCACTGCACTCCGGTCTGGACGACAGAGTGAGGCTCCAACTTAAAAAAAAAAAAGACCTATGGAGAATTGCCTCTCAATAGTCTGTTTCTTCTTTAAGTGAATTCTTGGAAATCATAATATATCTCTATCTTCTTTCCTTCCCTTTCTCTTGCATTCTCAGCTAGATCATATATGCAAATATAAAGCATAACTATTTTTCTGTAGGATAATTCACTTTCCTTTGTATAATAAAAATAACTATATATACAACTATAAATTGTTACTATATAATCAAAAAGAACTTTAAGTGATATTTTTCTCTTTTACCTTTAATTTTTATGTAGATGGGCCACCTTTCTTCAGGAGAATTTATCTTTCCTTAGATGATTAGCTTTATTTATTTTAACTCAGACAGTCCAGCCATATCGATAAATTGTTTCATTTTCAGTGTGTTTTAAAACCACTTATTAAGTGTCTGTTATACGCAAGACTGCATTCTAAGTGAATCTGAAGGCAGAAATATTAATAAGATATGATTTTTTCCTTAAGAAATTTAAAATATGATTGCTTATACAAGGAAATTCAAACTAACATGTTGTTAGGAGGAAGAATTAGTATTTTTAAACATATTTAACGAGAGCAAAATACTAATTTTTGTGGAATTTTATACATAAGTATTCTGTGCTCTATTACTTTTCCTAAAATATGACATTGTATTCATTGCATGGAATCATTAAATTTCCACCTGTCCATATCCATAAGTCTTTTACTTTGTTTAGATTGCCTTTATCAATTGACAGAAATGCCTTTGCTTCATTTCGTATCATAGCCAATTACCAGTAATTTGTGTTAAATTTTATTATAAAATTAGATATTATTTCCTTTAGATACTATTTTTTTTAAAAAAGACTTTAGGTCTCTTGAAATGGTAATTGACATAAAGATTTATAAATAAATAACCATTGGTAATAAGAAATTTACCTTATGTGCATATATAAACCACATATTCTGACTTCCTGTCTTATCATTTGGTGCTGGTCTTTAAATCACATTTGGTAATGGATTTAAAATGATTGTTAACTGCGTAGCAACTTGCATGGAGTCTGTAATACTCAGTATCTATTACAGAAACAAAGAACTGAATACCATATGTTCTCACTCATACATGGACCCTGAACATTTATCATAATACTATAAGAAAGGGATTGGCAGTAGTGGGAAATTTCCAAGGGGAGGGGCACACTTCATCAATAAGGGTACCTGATATCAAACTAGGTAGTGGGAACCAAAGTGATACACAAACTTTACCTGTACAATGACCATTTATATACCTAACCCTGAATTGTACCCATCTTTAAAATAAAAATGAAATGCCTATAATATAAATGAAAATACATGATATAGAACTATATAGAAAACATGATAATAAATTTTAAAATGTATCTGTATATGCATGGAAATGTTTATGTGTAAATTCATATATCAATCACAAATCTGTTCATGAATGATATCCATTATTATCTGAGAGTTTTGTTTTCTTCATTACTGTGTTTTTTATGATAAAATATTAATTTTTAGTGAGGAAAATAATAAAAGCAAAAAATATATTTTCCCATCATCACTTTCTTGATAGAATATGAAAACATAAAAGATGCACTGTTTTTATTTCAAATTATGAATATGAATTGTGGTTCTTGTTTTAAAGTTAAAGAAAATTGCATTTTCTGTTTTTAGAGTTCCCCCATCTTTAGAAACCTTAGATATCCTATAGATATTCTCCTTATTGGTAAGGATATTAGTAGTTCACCAAATATATTTTCTTACTCAAGCTCATATAAAAATTAATAGCTACTGAACTAATGCCTGTGATTGCCCTGTTTGGGGACTGTGAGCATTTATAGAAAATAAAAGACTCTGAGTATAATATTTATTCTTAATGAACTATTTTTCTTCCCCCTTCGGTGTCCACTATTTTTTACTTGGTGGTAGTGCTTTCTCTTTTTTTGAGAATGCTCTGTGCTCAACATTTTCTTTACTTAGAATTAAATTTTAAAAGTTTCTGTTTTATTTTTAATTAAAATACAGTCTTCTTTTGTAGATTAAAAATATGATTCGTGATTTCCTTGAATTTGTACCTACATCTAAATGTAGTTATTACTGTTTTGTTATTTATATTGTGTCATAGATTGTAATGAATTTTTTTAGATATTCATAGTCACTTGTACATCTGCACAAGTTTTGTTTTTTCTTAAATAAAATACGGTCGCATTAAGTATGTTCACATTGTTATGAAATACACATACGTTTTGTTTTTTAGCTGCATATTACAGTGGAGAAATGTTAGTGTTAATCTTATACCTGAATTCTTCTTAAAATTATTATTATTTTTTTAGAGTAGGAGTTTCACTCTATTGCCCAGGTTGGAGTGCAGTGGCATGCTTATGGCCACTACAGCCTCGACCTGCTGGGCTCAGGTGATCCTTCCGCTTCAACCTTTCAATTAGCTGGAACCACAAGTGCGCCACCATGCCTGGCTAATTTTTTAAATTTATTGTAGTGACAAGTCTCACCGATTTGCCCTGGCTGGTCTTGAACCCTCGGACTCAGGCAATCCTCGCACCTCTGCTTCCCAAAGTGCTGGAATTACAAGCATGAGCCTCTGCGCCTGGCTTAAAATTATTTTTTAATCTTCTCATCCTATGGTCCAATGTTGATAATTCCCAAGTTACTTATTTTTGACACATGAAGACCAAGGCCTGCTTATACTGCACTAGGTTTGATTTTATTTTTTAATTATGCAATAAGAAGCAGACCTTTTTCTCTTTCAATCTCAATTAACCAGTGTTAAGTAGCTGACTGCAGGGGCAACATGTGCTTGATGGCTAGGATTGTGTTGACAGCAAAACAGCACTATTTCAGTGATATAGTCATGTAGGAAAGACCAAACTAGCATAAAAGCATGCTGTTCCACATGAAGATGTGGAAGTATGGAACTTTGACTTCTGGCATGATAGAGTAGTTGGGCTTAGATATGTATTTCTGCTGTAAATAAATAAAAAAACTGGACAGAAAATATGGGGGTAACCTCAGTAATCTAGACTTTGGGCAACAGGCAGTGCAGGACTGTGATCCCTCATAGAAGGGAAACATAGGTGAACCCTAGGTTTGTCCTGGCTAGGGCAGGGTGGGATATCTGAAACTGAGCTCTGTAGTCTTTCTGAATTGTGGAGACAGAGATTAACATTTAGGCAGAGAGAAATGAATAGAAATTTTGGTATAAAGTTTCAGAGATAGAGAAAGCTATGCAGAAAAAGAAGCCCTCAAAAGCAGCAATAAAGTTCTTAAGTATTTGCTGAAGAATAAGATATGCATGCGTGGGATCACACTCCACATGGTTGTGAAAAGAATGACCTGGAGGGCTAGGATCTTAATGATTCCCAGACTCACACAGGGCTGGATGGCATTCAGGTTGCTACTGCCCTTAATATACAGTTCTCTTTGATTATTTGGGACATTCAATAGAGACACTAGAAGGACTGTGCCCTTAGTAGGGGGCTAAGCTATCTGTAGAGTAAAGGCTGCTCTAGAGTCACCTTACAAGCCTCTGAAGGAAACAAAACAGCAAGTAACTGTTATTAGTAGCAGGAATATAGTATGATCACTATTGTAGCCCAACATTACTGAAAAGAGTACTAAAAGATCTCTATATATAATAGCTTAAATATAACAGTGTCAAGCATTTAATCAAAAACTATTAGAGATGAAAAGAAACAAGAGCTATGACCAGGAGAAAAACAAACCAATAGAAATAGATTGAGAAGTAACACAGATATAGAGTTAGGAGGTGTATTAAATACATGTTTGTTAAAATAGGTATTATAACGTTGTTTACGTATTTAAAGAAAGTTGGATACATTTTTGAAAGAAATGCCAGAGTATATAGTAATCATTCTGTGATCCCCTCCCCTCTCCTTCCTCCCCCTTCCCTCCCTTCCATCTCTGATATCTAATATATAACCAGCCAAGTTCACAGTTCCTTTTTCCCCAAAGAGTTATTTTAAATTGGCAGCCCTGTGCCAAAACACTAAGATCGTAAAGAATTTTGCATTAGAGTTACTACTGGAAAACTCCATACTATGATGAGCATGCATGGTTCTGCTTTAATTGGATGTTATATCACTAGTGCACTGTTAAGTTCCTAGATGAGAATCAAAGTGAAATACTACTGCTGTTTACATTTTTTTTCTTGGATGTATCTTTGAATATATTCCTGATTTGTTGATGCTACTACCAAAATGAAAA